TAATTATATTGTTTTTCAGTGATTAAATTATCAGTGAATTTGTTAAAAGTTATAAACACTTATATAGTAAGTAATATGTGAAGTGTTTTTTGTTGTTGGTTGGGGTCATGTTTTTATTGTCTATTTTTAAGTGTATATATAAATATAGTTATATTGAAAATAAATAACTTGTAATCAAATTTTGTTTTTCAATAGCATTATATAATTTTTTTTGTTAGTGTTTTTTTATAATAAAATTATATATCATATATATGATATATATTTTCAAGTATTTACCAAATATTTTTTGACAAATATTGTATAATTTATTATACATTATATATATATACATATTTTTATAAAAAAATAAAACCAAAAAAGTTGTTATAGACACATTAAACTATATAACATTAAGTTATTTATTATGTAATTTTAAATAATAATATTAAAAAAGAAAAAAAGTACAAATTTTTTTAGTTGATATTTAAAATTCACAGCAGATTTAACTAAATATTATTTTTAGCATTTTTATTAAAAATCTGGTATTCATATAATATTTGTTTAAAAGTATTTTACAATATATATACATATAATACTRTATAATATGTCAAAGTATTAAAACAATAGATATTTTCAAATGAAAGACAYATATATATATATATATATAAAATGCTAATCAAAACAATCTCTAATGTTTTGTTAAACTGTTATACTATTCACTAAAACTCTGTAATTATTATATACAATACTATACATGTACTGTATGTAAAACAGTTGAATAGTCAATTAAAATAAATAAACAAATTTATATTATGTATAATTATCACTATATTTAGCTGCCCTATAGATTAACACATATAATATATAAGATATACATTAACATTGATGTTTTGTAGTTAGTGTTGGCAAAAAAGAGAAATTTATAAAATAATAGAGAAATTTCTAGAAAGTTTCTAAAAGAAATTTCTATCTATGGGATCCCCATGTTAATTTTGTTTTCTCGATATATGTTATTATGTAACAATACATTGGTTTTACAAGTAATAATTAAATATTAGTATTAATATTTTTATTATTAATTAAAGTAAAAATTAATTTATTTAATTATCTTAAATTCTTATATATATAATAAAATGATTATTAAAATTTTAGAAAACATTATTATTAAATAATTATAATTATTTTACATATAGGTATGTATAGTAGTGTATAGTGTAATGTTATATGAATAGTAGTATTGTCTCATTATTTATATATTATTTCAATAGCTATAGATATGGGGATCCCATAGTATAACAATAAAGTTAAATTTCTATAGAAATTTATTCCTGAGAAAGTTTCTAGAAACTTTCTCAGGGAAATTTATTAGAAACTTTCTATTTGCCCATCTCTATTTGTAGTGAACCGCAAAATGTTTTTCAAAATGATAACATAATGTTTGGCATTTTTCTAATACATTTTGTAATATTCAATATATTATAAAATGTCAAAAATTGATTGAAACAATTTTTTTTATAAATATATAGAGTAATAGTACAGTATATCTGGTATGTTATAATAAATAAATAAACATATTATTTGATATTTTGTCACAAAAAAAATTGTTAAGTAATAATAGAGTTATCTAGTTATTGTATATCAATAAATATATGATTAATTATATACAKTACAACAATAATAATGTGATTTATCATAATTTTTGTTTGAAAACTATTTTTCAAACAAAATTAATCACATAATTTTTTTGTTTTTATAAATATTTATTTAACTTTTAAAAATTTTACTATTAATATAWAATAATATATAATTTAAAATAAATAAATAAATTCTACATARTACATTTGTACTATTAGATCATCGACAATAAAATAAAATTAATTATATTGAAAAACTAATAAAACTATAAATCAATAAATATATAAAAACTTATCTAGTATATTTTATGAGTACAAATAAAATGTCTAATATTACTATTAGAGTCTAGTATATAATAATTATATTTATAACATATTTATTGCGTTATATAATTTTGTGTCACATGAGAGCAATCAGGTGTTAATATAATAGACAACTAAAGAGAGAGAGAGAGAGAGAGAGAGAGAGAGAGAGAGAGAGAGAGAGAGAGAGAGAGAGAGAGAGAGAGAGAGAGAGAGAGAGAGAGAGAGAGAGAGAGAGGAATATATTGTTGTTGTCTATGTTTTGCACAACAAATATACAGATATATAACACACAGAATATCAGTCAAAACAAAAATTTTATTGTCTTTTATTCTGTACTCAATTAATCTCAAGTCGTCTCTCTCTCTCTTTCTCTCTCTYTCTCTCTCTCTCTTCTCTCTCTTTCTTTCACAACAAGTGAGTAATTTATTTATTTTATGACATCCCATAACCAGTATATACTATAATTATATATATATATATATATATATATATATATATATATATATATAGATAGAGAGAGAGAGAGAGAGAGAGAGAGACCAATCAAATAACATATTTAATACTATAATATAGTATATCCAATATATTAATCAAATCTAATTATTATGTTGTTTACACTTTAATTGAATAACATATACTTAGATATATATATATATATATATTGTGTAACGATATATATATATAGATATATATATATATATAATAAGTAAAAATCTAATGTATTAATATTAATAGTACTTTTTTTAACTAACATTTACTTTTTGTTGTTATTGTTGTTTGATATCTATTACTATTAGTAATTATAAAACATTGATTATAATATTTATATATAAAAAAATCTTCTTAAGTATTGATTATATTTTGATGTTTTTGTTGTTGTAAATTGGGGTTTGATTTCACAACAGTTTTTTTGAACACCAAAAAAATCACTTTGATATTCAATTTATTATATCGTTTAGTAACTTATTGTATGATTTTTCTTACAATGTTGTATATTATAAAAAAGTGAATCAATAACTCATTAAATWAAAATGTAAAACCACTACAACATGTATTGAATAATATATTATTCAGTACTTCAATGTAATCATATATTTTATATACAGTATATATACACTTAACTACATATAATAGTGTAATAAATTACCCATATTTTTATATAAGACTAGATAATAAAGTAATTTAAATATATATATTTCAATAAATATATTTAATCTATAATATGTAAGATTATTATTTTCTTATATATACTGTATATAAATTGAAAGCATATTTTATAATAATATTTTATGTATGAAAAATATTTTATATATAAAAATAAGATAAGTTAGATAAAGTACCCGAGGTTAAATAAAARTATAATATGATATAATATAATATAAGTGGATATTATTTTTATAATATTAGCACAATTTTAAACTTTATCATTTAATATAATATATGAAAAATTTATCATCTATCATGTATAAATGTATAAACATTTTTAATTAGTATTAATTTATTTTTGAAATTTATATTTATTAAATATAAATTAAAATAACAATATATTTATTTTTTTATATAAAAGATAAGTAATTATAATAATATTAAAACTTTGTAGAAAATTTATTTATTCAAATTAGATTTAATTAAAAAACAAAAACAACAAATAAATTGATACAAAATTATATATATATAYTGAATATTATATATATATATAATTACAGTACTTTATAATGAAAATTCATTAACTAATTAAAGTGTCGTTAAAAGTGCCTATTATTTGATGATAAAATGTTTTTTTTTTKRAAAAGTTTGTTAAATTTTATTTGATTAAAAATAGCAAATGTTGTTTACCATAAAAAGTTTTCAATGTATATTTTTCAAAATGTTTTTTGAATATAATCAAGGTTTTTATTTGAAATAAAATTAACGTTTTTTATATGAATTTAAAAAAAATTAATATTATAAAWATYATAAAATTGATAATKATATATATTTAAAAAAAATAATARTWATCACATTGTATATATATAATTTATAGATTATTAATAGATAATTATATTAATATATTAAATTATATATATATATATATAAAGTAAATATATATATTTTTGATAAATAAGTATASSTTTTGTGCAATTATTTTATATTGATTTTATGAAAAGTAGCAAAAAATTTTGTTAAAATATTTTAAATTTTAATTAGTAATTTTTCAAATAAAAAAARTAATAATAAAAAGTTAAGATAGCACATTTATCATAGCATTTATATATGTATATATATATATATATATATATATATATTTATATATATATATTATTTTTAATTTATATACAGGAATGTTGTATTTTAAGTTCAATCCCCGATCCCGTGTGGGGGCTAACCATACCATGTTTTTGTGTGTGTGAATGTCAGTAACCATTATATTTGATATTTTAGTTTATTTTTTTGGGTACTTTTACYATAAAATTTAATAATACACTTGTCAAGTGTATTAAATATTAAATCAAAATAAATTTTATATATATATAATAATATGTAAAATMAAAAATATAAAACTATATTTAACATAAATTTATCAACAACAACAAAAATAAGTTATTATTATTATTATAGTATATATTTTTTTTAAAAATTTTTTTTAATCAAATATAATGTTGTTTCTAACGTTAGAGTTAGAGAAAAAAATTYAATTATAAAAATTAATTTCAAWTTTTGTTATAATAATTATTTTATAGTTAGAAAATAATATGTGTTTATATGAAAATTTCTATAATATTATTATTTACATTATATTATAAAATAGTAATAAAAATAAATATTTAAAAAAAAATTACGATAAAGCATAAATTAAAAAATAAATAATAAAAATAAATTATWAGATTTAAACATTAATTACTTATTTAAAAAAAATCTAATTTGATTTAAATATTAATAAATTAAATAAAAATAATAAAATAAAATAAATTTTTAAAAAATAWATTTTTAACATTTATGTAAATATAAATGTMTAAAAAATATTATATATTAAAAAAAAWAMTMTTTAGTTATATCTAAAACAAAACAATTAAATGTTAACCAAAATTAGTTGAGACATACCTTTCCAGACAAATGGCTACTAATGTTAAAACACTGGAAAATACGATAACTGTTTGCAGATAACTGATTGCCGAACATAGACTATCGCTGAATGCCGACCAATTGGCCGGTGCCATCAGCTCCAGTAGTTTGACTGGTAGTACAAAAGCACCTACCATAAAATCGGCCAGTGCCAGATTAACAATATAACAGTTGACTACGGTTTGCATTTTAGGATTGATTACGACTGTATAGCAAACAACTAGATTACCAAACAATGCCAAAAACATTACCAATGAATATAGGATGAGAAATAGGATCCGTATGAATGATAGTTGAGTTAAATCGGGATAATAGTCGAGATTATTATCATTATTATTATTATTATTGTTATAATTATTATTATTAATAAAATCATTAGGATTATAGTCAAAATCATTGCCCATCACTACACCATCAGTATTATTGCCGACAGTTATTAATTCAAGACTATTATCACTACTACTACTACTACTACTCATGTTTAGTATGTTTATCAGTTCAATGGTMWGTGGATTTGTGGTTAGATTTATCAATAGATTATTATTATAACTATAATTAAGATGATTATTGTAATTATTAGTATTATTTTGTATTAAATTAAATATTTTTTTCGAYTTTTCATAGTTTATAACAGTTATATTATTATTATTATTTAAATTATTTAAATTATTTAAATTATTAATAATTGAAGACATTTTTAAATTATATATATATATATACTGTATTTTCTATCTAATTAAGTTGATTATTATTATTATTAATGTATATTATTTATTTATATATATATATATAAATTGTTGATGATGATTTTATTTTTTAGTTTATTTTATCTACACGTGTATAAGTTTTTATTATGATTTTTTTTGTTATTGTAATTATCAATAAAACAATTTATTAACAAAAATTTAACACAAAATATATATATAAAAATTATTTATTTTTAAATCACAAACTTTTTAGCAAATGTTTATTAAATTTTTTGTTTAAAAAAAAGAAACATAAAAAATAACAATAATATTAACAATAATAAAATTGATAATAAAACTTTTTATTTTTAATACATTATATGTTATTAACAACAACATCAACGTTAATGTAGAAAAAATAWTTTTTTTGTTAATAAATAGTAATAAAAAAATTTGTAAATACAATAAAATATATTGTGTTTATTTATAATAATAAAGTCAACAAAAAAAATTGTTTGTATGTGTTATTTAATAAAATACAAATTTTTTAATTATTATTTGTTATTACAGGGGAAATACACCAATGAATCTATAATTAAAAACTTTTTTTGAATTAATAACAAAACCAAAAAAATAAATAAATAATTTTTGTCCAACTATTGGAGCATAACATTGAAGATTTAACAGTCAGTACAGTGTATATACTAATGTATATTATTTTGTTTTATAAGTGATTTAACTTATATTATACACACACTTGTCATTGGAGTGAATCCAAGATTACACACATATATAATAATAATAATAATAATAAAATACAACAATTTATATATATATATATATATATATATATATATATATATATATATATATATATATATATATACTATCGATATATATATACAATATATACTGTATATTAGACACTGATTTTCACACATAAGTTATGTGAAAAAGACACAAAATTTATATATTATATAAATATATATATAAATATTTTCTCAGACATTATATATTCTCAACCAGAAAAATATGTGATCAAAATTTGTTGTTTGCTTTTATATATATATATATATATATATAGTATATGTGTGATAGTTATATATATATAAGAGAGARAGAGAGAGAGAGAGAGAGAGAGAGAGAGAGAGAGAGAGAGAGAGAGAGAGAGAGAGAGAGAGAGAGAGAGAGAGAGAGAGAGAGAGAGAGAGAGAGAGAGAGAGAGAGAGAGAGAGAGAGAGAGAGAGAGAGAGAGAGAAAGTGAAAGAGAGACATAAACTAAGATAAAGATAGTTATGTTTGTTTGGAGGTATAGCCGGCGCAGGCGTTCATTGCCTGTCCGCCCGTCGTCATCATCAGCACCGGTAGATTATAATTAGGAATGAGTGTATGAGTGTGTGAGTGTGTGAGTGTGTGAGTGTGTGAGTGTGTGAGTGTGTGAGTGTGTGAGTGTGTGAGTGTGTGAGTGTGTGAGTGTGTGAGTGTGTGAGTGTGTGAGTGTGTGAGTGTGTGAGTGTGTGAGTGTGTGAGTGTGTGAGTGTGTGAGTGTATGAGTGTGTGAGTGTGTAAGTGTGTGAGTGAGTGTGTGAGTGAGTGAGTGTGTGTGTGTGTGTGTGTGAGTGTGTGTGTGTGTGAGTGAGTGAATGTGTGAGTGAGTGAGTGAGTGAGTGAGTGAGTGAGTGAGTGAGTGACTGAGTGAGTGAGTGAGTGAGTGAGTGATGCCTTTAAGCATTTAAGACTGGGATGCCATATGATATCGACACAAACATAAAAGTTAAGTTATTTTTTTAGATGCAATTTTTTGTTAGTTTATAAACTTTTTTTTCAATTTCAATTTGAATGACATGAATCTCAATTATATTTTAGTAGTTATTCAAAATTGTTTTTTTGTGTGTGAAATATAAAATTTTGAAAAAAATAATATTAATTGCATTTAATTTGTGTGATATATTATACCACTTGATTATAATTATTATTATAATTATTAAATTTTATTAATTAAAAGTTTGTTGTTATTATTATTATTACTAAAAGCATACTTATAGATAATATATATATATATATATGATATTATTAATATTTTTGTTATTTTTATAAAATTAATACATATACAATATACAGTATTGGACAAAACAATCTGTGAAAGGTTTGAGACATAATATCTTAAAAACTACTGGATCAATTTTGATACTGTTTAGTCGTAAATGTACTGTATATAATATCATATATATATATTTTTTTTAAAATTAGTCATTTAAAAGTTATAATAATATAAGTGAAAAGTTTTGTGTTTTTCATTAGCATCGTTACCAGCATTAGGGGCTGCTTCCATACATTTTGTCATTTTTTAACTAATTTTTAAAAATTACTTATATTATTTTTGAACAATTTTTGTAATTTTATATAAACTAGATTATATACTCTACCTATACCATAAACAGTATCAAAATTGATCCAGTAGTTTTTAAGATATTATGTCTCAAACCTTTCACAGATTGTTTTGTCCAAGAGTGTATATATGTATATATATTATCAAATATATATATATATATCAGGGTTGCTAAATAGGGGGGTAAGACGTCTTACCCCCCCCCCTGAGATCGAGAAATTTTGGCTTTTACCCCCCCTGGCCTGAAGCCAGAAAGTTAGGGGGCCCCCTACTAATTTTCGGCGCCGAAGGCGCCGAAAATTTTTTTCAATTATGTAAAATTTTATATTAAACAAAAAAATAAATATTAAATTAGTTTTAATATAAATTAATAGCTTATGTATAGAAAATAAATAGATAAAAATGCTTAATTACATCAATTTAACATTATTTACACTAGTTAGGGCACTCCACAAGCTAAAAAATAAATTCCCACCAAATTTTCAAAAAAATTAATGATATTTTATTTTATTTATAGCTGTTTATAAAAGATAATATATATTTTATTTCTTATTAAAAGTCGAAAACTAAGATTTTTAGCATAAATTTTAAAATAATTATATTTTAATATTTTTAAACTTTATATTAAAATTTGTTAGTTATGTGCTTTAAAAATAATAATAATAATATTAACTAAATATTACATAAATAGAGTTGGGGCACTCCACAAGGAAAAAAGCTCCCTAATAAATTCCCACCAATTTTCAAAAAAAATAATCAAATATTTTATTTTATTTTTTAGCCTTTATAAATGATATATTTATATATATTATTTCTTATTAAAAGTAGAAAACAAATTTTTAGCATAAATTTTAAAGTTATTATATTTTAATATTTTTAAATTTTATAGTAAAATGTGTTAGTTATTTTTCAATATGAAATACTATGTAAAAAAATATTCTTAAATTAATTATTTAGAACTAATTATTTATTTCTGACAATTTTATTATTATTATTATTAAAACGTTTTAATAAATACAGTATTAAAATGTGTTAGTTATGGTTCAATATAAAATACTAAAAAAATATATATTTTTAAATTAAATTAATTATTTAGAACTAATTAATAATTATTTCTGCCAATTTTATTATTATTATTATTAAAACGTTTTAATAAATACAGTATTATATCATTAATTTTTAATCAATAACTATTTTTTTTAAAATCTAAATAATATTTTTATTTAATAATTATAATTATATTTGTTATATATATATTTATGCAATTTTTAATATTTAGAAAACATTTTGAGTATTGAGAAATTAAGTTGAGAATATTTTTATTTGTTAATTTATTGAAAATTTAATGGGAATTTAGCGGGAATTTAGTGGGAATTTAGTGGGAATTTATTGGGAATTTAATGGGAATTTAATGGGAATTTACTCAAATTTGGCAAAAATTGTCGTTTAAAAATGCAATAAAAAATGTTCACCCCCCTATACCCCCCCCCCCAAGCTTTTTCGAAAATTTTGCCATTTTACCTCCCCCTATACCCCCCTGAAATCGAAAACCTTTAGCAACCCTGATATATATGCATTTTTGAAGCATTTAATTAGTGTAGTAGACTTGTTGTATAAAACTATATGCTATTGAAAAAAGTGTTATAAATAATAATAATAATAATTTCAATGTAAATATAACACATGTACTGTACATATGTCACTCAAATAAATATATGTGATATAATACATAACTTTTATGATATCAAATCTAATAATCAAATATTATTTTTAATATTATATCATATATTATATACTATAGTTAAGTAAATAAATTTTTTAAAAACGCTAGAAGCTTATTATTATGTTTGGGAATTTTCATATATGTATTATATTATATATTACATTATAATATTATACATAAAATTATATTTTATGTTATATATATATAATAATAATAAACTAGCTAAAATATCTATTATATGTGTGTTTGTTGTGTGTATTTAATATTTAATAAAATTTAATAATATGTTTAATAACAATATACTGTATATACCTAATACTATATATATAATACTTATTTTTAAAAATAAAATAAAATTTATATTTAAATTTTAATAGGATTTTGTAGAAAATCATTAAAAAGTAAAATTTAATTTAATATTTGTACAAATATAACACACACACATATATATATATATATACAGTAAATTTATTGAAATAAAATGCGTTTATTTTATTTTAATTTATAAAATATTTAATATACATAACCTTTTACTACAAAATAAATATGAATTACTTTACTATACTGTATATTTGTTTTAATTAAAATCTATTTTTTCTACTAAATTAATTTTTAATACTAATAATAATAATAATAATAACTGTACATAAAATCAATAATAAATTTCCATCAAATTAGTTAAGTTATTTAAAAATAGATATTTAAAAAAATATATAAATATGTTAATTTTATTTGTACTATCAATATTTGTACTAAATTTATTTTGGTGACATTTTGAAAAAATTATATTTGAAATTAAAAACTTATTTATAAATATTATTTATTCCATATTTTGTTGCAATAATTTATTTTTATTTTTTAATTAATAAACAAAATAACAACAAATTAGAGAATACTATATATATATATATTTAAAAAATTTCAAATCACTTGATATTTGTATAAATAAATTTTGTTAACTAATAATTTATTTTTTGTTTTAAATTAATAAATTTACAATAAATTATAGGAACAGAAACCCGTATATTATAAGTCAACCATATATTTATTATTAATAATTTAGTATAATTTTTTTAGGTGGGTGTATTATATATGTAAAATGTAGTTGTTAAAAAATTATTTTGTTATTAAGTTGACATAATAGATTATTTTTTTAAATGTTAAAAAACTTTATTTAACAAAAAAATATACTAATAATAATATGACAGATATGACAGTGTGCACGGGTTGATGGGGGGACTGTTATGTTTTGGGGGACATACATACATTTTTTGGCACCCACTATCATATATAAGTTATATATATATATATATATCAATCTTATTATTATTATTATAAGTTTTATTATATGTCTAATTATGATACATATGTATGATATAATAATAATAATAATACATTAAATAACTCATAACTAGTGCCATCAGTTTAGATGTTATGTAAACAAAAATTTAGTATAACTTATACTCTATACATATACATGTATTAAATATATACAAGGTTATTTTAAACCCATGATTTTTTTGTGTAATATATATATATATACTAATACAAAATTAAGCATTATTAAATATTACTACTATTTTTAATCCATTACTTTACAACAACAACAAAAATCAGTTTATTTTTAAAATGTTAATGTTATGTAAATTTTTTAATAAWTTTTTTTAACATTTACTTAATATATATATATATATAGCTATTTGAAAATACACTTGAGTTGTGTTAAATTTTTTAATTTTTTAAATCTAATAATAATAATAACTATTTATATATAATTATTTATGTATATAATATTAATAAAATAGAAAATGTAAAATTTTATTATAATTTTTAAATAGATAATTTTAGCTGTTATAAAATATTTTATTTTCAAATGATAGTTTAATATATTTCATAACAAGCAATAAAAATAAAATAAATAAAAATTTTAATAATATTAYTTTTTATTATCATAAATTTTATAAATTTAGTTAAACATGAAAAAAATTCAATTTTATTTCTATAAATATTTTTAGACATAAATTAAATATTTTTATACTTAAAAGTTTTATGAATGAATTAATTTTATCAAATAATTAGATTAATATTATTAGAAAATATTAKAAAAATAATTATAAGTTTTTTTTTGTTTTTTAAGTTATTATTAGTAATACTACTAATTAAGCATGAAAACTTTTTTTATATATATATAAATTGCTTAAATTTGAAATAAATATTTTTCAATAAAACTAAATTATTGATAAATTTTGATAAATAAAAATTTAAAGATAACTTACAATAATCATTAGTAATGTTTAATAATAGCAGTAAATATTACTAACATAATATAGTATACAGTAATTACCTAAAAAATAAATTATTTTATAGTTATTATATATTAATCATTTTTATTTGGAAAAAATTAGTTGAATTTTTTGTTGTTTTTTATAAATATATGATTGAAACCATTTAAAGTTTTCAATTTAAATAATTTCAGTTTTTTTATTATAAATATTATATGAGATAATGAAAATAAATTTGCATTTAAATTGAATCACTAAAAAGTTTTCAGTAAATGCTATTTTAAATTTAGTTATTATTATTATTATTGAATATTATATTAACTGTTTATCATTATAATGTATTATTTTTTTTGTTTTGTGTTTGCTTTTCAATAAACCAGTATCTATTGTATTCAAAAAATATTAAATTTATATTAAATTTTRTTAATAATAGATTATTTTTATAAAAATTAATTTTCTCTATAGAAAAGTCTTGAACAATAATATAGTTTTATTTTTATTTATTATAATAATTATTGCGAAATTAATTTTATCAAATAAATTTATATTAAAAATTTATATAATAAAAAAGTCAACGATTTTATTATTATTATTATTTTATATAAAAAATTAAATATATAATATATTATTTTGTAATAAATATTTAAATATTAATATATATATAATAATAATTTATTTTATTTATATATATACAGTACTACTGGATATATGATGCTATGATACTATATATTTACAAGTATTTTGTTATATCATATCCTATTAATAATAATATTTTATAATTTATATCCTATTATTATTATTATTACATAATACTATCGATTCTATACATCATAAATAATATCATTAATTAGTGTATTATCAACCAGTGATTTGTTATCATCAAAAAAATCAGTATTATTGACAATACCATCGATGGCCTCGACTTCACTGATATCGACAACAGTAGTGGTAGTAGTGGTGGTGGTATCGATGGCATCGACGGTATTGTCAATAATAATGGATGGATTGTCTTGAAATTGATTGGCAGCGACTGTCGCGGCGGCGGCGGCAGCGGTAGTGGTGGTGTTGGTGGCCAACAACGGTGGCATCGATACTGATGAATGCGATGATCGCGAACCACGACTTAATAGTTGACCGATTCGGGCCGATACGGGTGCCGATGCGGATGTTGCGGCCGTCGCCGATGAGGAGGACATCATTTGCATAACTGTGTGCACTAGTCTGGGTGTGGACGGCCTTTTCAGGTGCGGCGGCGCCGGCATATTGACTACACATTCGACATCAATTTGATCCATAGTTTTCGTCTTTTCGTCGACAGTTTCCCGACATTTCATTAGTTTGCGAACCCTTTGCATCAGATTTTCTTTGTATTCCGGATAGTCTTTCAGAGTGTCCATTAGATCCGATTTGCTTAATACAAACAGATAGGAATAGCCGACCGATCGGACATTGGCCGTACGTTTGTTGAAACCGGGTATACCTAGAATGGATATCTCGCCGAATACCGATCCTTACAAACAAACAAAAATAATTAGTTATCAATTAGTAGACAATCAATTATCAATTGTTACCAATTGAACCATAAAAAAAACTAATAATAATAATTACCCTCACATAGTGTAGCTATGATTTTCTTATCATCGCCCGGATCCATGACGCATACCTGTCCCGTATTGACAATATACATTTCGTGGCCAATGTCACCAATTTTGCATACATAATCACCGGGCAAGTAGAGTACCGACCGGAACTTGAGTACCAGATCCCGGAGCAATGTTCGTTCACAATTTTTAAATATCTCTACCCGACTCAGGGTATGGTAGTGTATGGATAGGGCCAAATCGGTTTGCATTTTCAGCGGTAAAAACCCCAGGAAACTGGTTTCATCGAAAGTTTTCTGTTGACTCCATGTATAGGTTAGCCATAGGCGTACCCGCTTCTGTAGATATTTTGGCAGATCCATATTGCTCATGTATCTGACAGCTTTGTTCATAAACTCTTTGTATCGGGTCTGGTTCTGGGTAGCCGTAGCTACAATGTCCCTGATCTGGCCGATTAGGAGGGCAAATACAAATACACCCATAAGCCAGCTGACTATCATATAGATACGCTCGATATCGTTGATAGGTTTAGGCATACGGCCACCGATTGAAGTGGCCGTACGGAATGCAAAATAAAAGCACCGCAAATAGGCATTTCCTATGGGAGGTGGTTGGGGTGAGAGAACAGGTAGTTAGTTAGCTGTTTGTTTGTTAGTACAATAGTAATAGTAGTATTTTTGGGGAAACTCATTGGGGTATTATAAATAAGAGTACAGTAGTATTAGTGTTGTTATATAATACATGTGTTTCTATTGAAATTTTTATTATATAAATTGTTTTTAGTTTTATCGTATTTCGATATATATATATATATATATATATAATGAATCGGTATGTTTGGGGAATATAAGCCTAAATTAGTCTATTGTTTGTTAGATAAGATGCTTAACACATGTTTTTTTGTTTTGTTTGGTTTATTAGAGTTATATATATATATTATTGTATATACTGTATATACAGTATATACATGTAAAGAGCCAGTCAAATGATCTTGAGCCGCGTATTTTTTGAATAACTTTTAAACGGCTAGAGATAATTTAATTCTGTAAAATACATTTAAGAATATCATATCGACCACACTTTATATACACACAATCACAAAACTAGGATGACCAGATATACAAAATATATATATTGAAAGACACTATGCTACAGGTCAATATATATATACCGACAAATTTATTATGATAATGAAAATTTGTAGTAAAGAAATAATAGTTTAATATAAAAAAAGAATCATCAAAATCGAATTGGTAGTTTTGTTTTTATGGCTTGTTAAGTTTGTCATAAATCATATTATATAAAATAGTCTAAAATAAAAATGACGTTATTTATGAATATTATATATTTATTAGATGATATTTTCAAATATATCACTAATTCTAAGAACGAAATTTTAATATGTCGACTAGTTTTCGATATAATCGAATTTTAATATAAATTATAATATCAAATTACAATAGTGTGATTTATATTGAAATTCGATTATTTCGAAAACTAGTCGACATATTAAAATTTCGTTTTTAAAATTAGTGATATATTTGAAAATATCATCTAATAAATATATAATATTCATAAATAACGTCTTTTTTATTTTAGACTATTTTATATAATATGATTTATGACAAATAATCAAATAAAACTAAAAATTACATTAACGTATTTGATGATTCGTTTTTTATATTAAACTATTGAAAAAATTTCTTGACTACAAATTTTCATTATCAAAATAAATTTGTAAGTTGTAGATTGACCTGTAGCATAGTGTCTTTCATTGGTCCCGATATTTTGTATATCTGGTCATCCTAGTTTTGTGATTGTGTGTATATAAAGTGTGGTCGATATGATATTCTTAAATGTATTTTACAGAATTAAATTATCTCTAACCGTTTAAAAGTTATTCAAAAAATACGCGGCTCAAGATCATTTGACTGGCTCTTTATATAATAGATATTTTTAATGGCCACACAAAATGTTAAATTAAGTACTACTACTAGTCTATCGCAAAATCTAATTAAAGTTTAATTATAATAAATTGTTGTTTATTTCTATGTTTTTCTATTATTGCTATTACTATTGTAATATACAATAAAATACAGTATCATTAGTATGCTATATATATTTAAAATTAGGATGACCAACTAATTTTTAAAAAAATAATATATATATACTTAATAAATAGAAAAAATTATAATAATTTTATCCACCCCCGTATTAGTTGACCTTTATAAGTTTATATTTATATAATAAATATACTATACTATATATTTAACACATTGTGTGTCAATATTATGTCAATAAAACTAATAATATTTTATTTACTCATCTTATTATTATTATTATTATTATTATCTTTACTTTAATGTACTGTATTTTGTCAATAATATTGACGTCTAATAATATACAGTATATTTTTTTATCTRCAAAAAAAACGTGTACGAGTATCTAATATTAAATATATATATATATATATTGTTTGTTTGTTTGTTTCACATTTTTGCATTACTAAACATTTTTTCCAATGAATTTTCTATATTTATATATATATCAATGTTTAAAATATATATATATATATATATATATTTTAAATCCACTATACATAATGTGATTTTTTTATTAGCATATATTAGATGATATTAATTTTTTAAACTATTGCTATAGTATTATATAAATTTTTTTCTTTAAAAAAATAGTCAATCAAATTAAAAATTGATGCCTTAATGTAAATTGTATGCCAAAAAAAATATATATATATAATGGTATTCACAAACTACTTGTATATATATATATATTGTGTATACATTATTCATAGATAAAAATTCAAAAGTTTTTTTTTAATTTAAAACAAATAATTAAAAATAAATAAATTTGTTTTGTAACTTATATCATTTGTTGTATATATAATTGATACTACATTTTTAAACTATAGACTAAACAAAAAATAGTAGATGGCCAGTCTAATGGGTCTATTAATTGATTAAGTTTTTTTTATATCTATTATATTAGACTTATCATTATCATTATTATTATTATCAATACTACTAATATTATATTATCTATTATATGAAATTGTATTATCACACAACAATAGATAAACATTAAATATAATGATATTTTTCAATACAATATACATGTAGATAAAAATTTTATATAATAATTAATATCATATCATTTATGCTGGGGTATGGATGGTTATGGTATGGGGGTAGGTGTATGGTGGTGGAGGGGTAGACAAGTCATACTAACCTTTATTATTATAAGTCCAGGGCGTGGCTCCAAAGCCCTCCCAGTAGGACATCAGATAATAGGCACACGAACTCAAATGTATTAGAAATATCTTATAGATTAGTGTATGAATAATACGGATTAAATACGGAAATTTGGTAACCATATCGATGCGGGCGAAAAATTCCCAAAACGTTCCGACTTTTATCAGCCGAAACAATCGGGTCAGCCGTAATACTGGCCAATCGGTACCGTAGTATAGATAAAATAGGATATCTATGGGCAGCAGTGCTAGTGTATCGTAAACGAAACGCCTGCGGCGGCAATAGTGACGGCGTATGAGCCGCGGTTCGTCCATCCATTGGCCGTCGGTAATGAATTTCAACCGCATTTTGAAACATATTATATCCATTAGATAAATGGCATCACAGGTGTAGTCGATTATAAAAAATATATATCTATTTTTGTTGTGTTTTTTTTTGATGTATTATTAGTTGTAGTAAATAAAATGATAAATTTATAAATAAAACAAATTGTTTGCTTTTATATATATATAATATTATAGATTATTAGAAAATAATAATAATAATAATAATTAGTTTTAGTTAAATAATTTAATAAAAAAATAGTTAAAAAATAAATATTAAAAAAAATAATTTATAATATTTAATTCATAATTTAACTAAACTAAATTATAGTTATTTTTTTAAATTAATTAATTTTTATATATAATATATAATTATATAATTAAATTGGGATTATTATTATTAGTATATTTTTTGTTAATATATTAAAATATTTTTATAGTGTAATTACTTTATATTACTAATAACTAATATTTAAATAGTAAGTAACTTATTGTACATTTATATTGTAATTTACTGGAATAATAATTAAAAAATTTTAGTAATTTTTTTAAGAGTACTTCAAAAAAAACTAATAGCAAAAAATATTCAGTAATATTAACAATATATGAAAAAAATATTATTATTAGCAATAAAAGTCGTAATTAATAATTTTTAATATAAAAATATAATATAATACTATAAATACTTAAAAATTCCACAATTTTATAAGTAATTAATATTAACATAAATAATAGTTAAAAAATTTTGATTAATAATTTTTGTTGATAGCTATATAACAATATCATTAATAATAATAAAAAAACCTAATAATCAATAACCATATATATGTGGGTTTATGCTATTTTAATAATAAAATATTTAATAGAAAAAAAGTAAAAATAATTAATGATAAACTAATTATTAATTAATAATAAGCAACAATACAATAACACAATACAGTAACACAATAGCAGTAATACAAATAATATTAATATTAAATGAAATTCAATAATAATAATAATAACTAATTAATTATATAATAAAATAAAAAAAGAGAAAAAATAAATATTTTTATTAATCAACATTAATATGAAATATTCAATATATTAATTAAAAAAATAATAAATAAAATAATTCAATATAACTATAAATAATATCTATTAATAATATTAAAAAATATTTATTAATTTTTATCTTCAATATATTGTTTACCTATTATTATGATTTTCAATGGGAAAGACACTTCGGAGGAATATACTGAATGAATTGTAGATGAAAACTAAACTGACAACAAATAGCCAACTAATATAGATAGTACTCTGGGGTTCAAAGGCACCCAACTCCCGGTGCCGGCACCTGTACCAACATTCACCGAACAATGATCTCCATTTTAATGGTAAACTAAAACCAGTGTTGGTAGTAGTAGTAGTAGTGATGTCCATGTTTTGCATCCATTCCTCTTCGAAAATCATTGAACCCCTGAGTCCGGTATCCTCGCCGCTGGACGTCTGGACGGCTGTTTGGCTGATACGGCGTTTGACATCTTCGCCGCGTTTGGCCAGCGCTTCGGCCAAACCTTTGATTTGTTTCACAACATTATGAGTGGGACTGAGCGGCGCCGGACTACCGGTTTGGTGGTCTGTGGCTACCGGTTCCGGATCTATACATTAGTCATAATATRTATATATTGAACCAAAAAAATAGACGATTGATTGATTGCATAATAAAATTGATTGTATTTTTATTTGATAAGTCATAAATAAATATCAGATTATTATTTATTAGGCAATACTATCTATCTATCTATATATATAAGTGTTTGTCAAATAGTTTTCTACTGTATATGTTTTGTTTAGTGTGTGATTGATATTATATGATATATCAATATATATATTATTWTTATGATATTATAATTATATGTTATATATGACAGCAAAAAAATAAAGTTATAAATACAGTAAAACTAATAATAATACCGAAAACTTCCGATTCGTTGTCTTCAGCCGCTGATGAAAATTGTTGGTCACAATCGGCCAACAATTCGGCGGCAGTAGTAGTAGGAGTAGTAGTGACCAAATCGATGGCCACTTGAAAATTATCAACATTTTCAATATTATCATCACTTTTTTCTTCTTCAATTATTATTATATTACTTTCATTAACATTATTATAATCATTAGAATTGTCAACACTTTGATTATCGTTATTATTATTATTGTCAGCATTAAAATTGTCAACATTTTGTTGATTATTAATATTACAATTATTATTATTATTATTATTTAATTCATCACTTGATTGTCTATGTGTAGGCGTATCACTCATTGGTTTGTCTATGGATTAGTTAAAACAGAAATAATAATAATAACATAATCACAGAATCACAGAATATTCCTTAAAGTGAAAGTTGAAGTCAACAAAAAAAACTAAATGAAAGAAAACTAAAAAAAGCAAAAAATTATTTTATTTTCTTAACCAAACAAAAAGTACATTTCAAAAATCTGATGCATTATTATAATATATATATACATTTGTATGTATATATAATGAAATAAATGGTGAATTGCATATATATAAAACACACACACAAACAATTCAGAAAAAATAAATTTTATATATGTATATACAGTTATATATACAGTATATATACAGTACACACAATTTATATATATATATAATTTTTCGTGTGTATGTAATGTAAGTGTGTTAGTGTTTTTGTGTTTCAAAACTGGATATCACTTTATATATATATATATATATAATATAATATATAAATTGTGTGACAAAAGGAGGCAAAAACAAGTGAGGCATCGATTGAATGGCAAAACTATGTGTCACACAGCGATTGAGCAAAATATATAGAGAAATATATATATATATACATTATATACAATACATTTGCTGTATATACATATATATATTATATAATAGACTATTGATTATTATAGGATTAAACAAATAGATTTGGATGATAGAGAAAAGAAAAAAAACTAAATATATATATATATAATACAGAATTATTATCAATATAAAGTCTGTGACAGAAGGGTGCGAACTGGTTTTTGCTTAATATCTCTATAACTAATTGAGCTAGATCAATAAAAATTTTATGAGAAACATGGAATCCTGGGACGTATAACTTAGTATAGTTAGTTTTTATAGATTTAAGCTTAAAACCGGTAGGTGCCATATCTCTAAAACTATAATAAATATATATATATATATATATAACGTATAATATTAATAAATTTTAAACAAAAAGCAAAAAAATGTAAAATTTGCGATATTTTGATATTTTCTAGAAAAAAAGTGTCAAGTATTTTGATATGAAATTAATCTATTATTATTTGTTATTTTATTAGGAATAATTAATCTATTTACAATTTTTAATAATCATAGTTTTTGAGATATTATAGATAAACCTTTTTACCATTATATAAATTTAGTAACAAATATAATTAATAAAAGTTTATAAGAAAAAATTATATATATATATATAGCATGATAATTAAAAATTGTAAATAGAATAATTATTCCTAATAAAATAACAAATAATAATAGATTAATTTCATATATATATTAGAAAATATCAAAATATCACAAATTTTACATTTTTTTGTTTTTTGTTTAAAATTTATTAATTTTTAAAAAAAATACTGAAACACGTGTCTAATGAAACCTAGTTTAAATTCACATTATCAGAATTTAGATATTTATTATAGATGATACCGGTGCTTAGCTACATAAGCTTAAATCTATAAAAACTAAATATATATATATATATTTTTATTGATCTAGCTCAATTAGTTATAGAGATATTAAGCAAAAAATATATATATATACTGTAAATACATTGTATGCTATGTTATAGTAGTTATGTTATATGTAGTTGAACTGAATTATTACATTAATATACTGTTTTATATATATTTATATATATATTATATAAGACCCATATATCCATATATCCATATATATATATATATATATATATATATATATATATATATATATATAATATTTACAATAATAACTGACAATATTTGAATTATGTAAAAATGATTGCCTACTCCGACACGTTAAGCGTTACATAAATAACTCGTATATTATAACTAAATATAAGTAACAAAAAAATTATTTTAAAATATTATAGCTCTTTATATATATGGTATAGTAAAGTATTATACATGATATATGATATATTTTATAAAAATATTATTAACATTATAAAATGTTATAATTTACATTTGCTATATTATATACAGTATATAATACTACTATAAATTTAAAACTACTATTTATATAAAATATATATAAAAATTTTTATAAAATACTTTTTAGACACCACTTTACTTAGTTGTAGGAGTAGTAGTAATAGTAGTTGTAGTAGTAATAGGCATCATATAGTTTAGTAGTAGTAATACTCTCTGGCTATTGATTTGATAATTTAAATCTTTTGAGACCATTATATATATATATAATATATATATATATAAGTACAGTCATTTAGTATATACTATACTTAATACACTGTAAATAATTTATCATATTATTATATAATAGTAGTAGTAGTAGTAGTATTAGTACCAGTATTTTTACTATATATCCCATGAAACACTAATTTTATTAACATAACTAATTAGGGAGATTGTACTGTATATATATACACACTGTATAACAGTATTATACTGTATATATGCATATATATTATATATATATATTATATTATTGATTATGATAATTTAAAGTTTTACATAGTTATAAGTTATATAATAGGATTATAAAAGTATGTTTAAAAAGTTTCATAAAAATTATTTTTAATTAAAATTTAAGTTTACTTTTTGTTTGAGAATTTGTTAGTTTTAAAAAAAATATATTAAAGATAATTTATTTTACGTGTGTGTGTGTGTGTGTGTGTGTATGTGTGTGTATGTGTGTGTGTGTCTCAGTAGCAAATAATATAATATACACTATATATACCGGTATATAAAACTTAAGTATCTAACAAAATAAAGTTTGATTGCATAGCACTCATAATGTATTTTATCATTATATCCATATATATATAGTTATATAAGATTTTGTATATTTACTTTAGTCTATTATAATATACTGTACAATATTATATAATATAATATTTTATATAAAAAAAGATATGAAAAGATAATTATAGTAAATAAAATTTAATAAAATTTTTGTAAGAAATTAAAAAATAAATAATGAAACAATAAACTATAGACGCAAACACACACACACACATATACACATACATACACACACATACATACACACACTCATACACACACATGCATACACACACATAGATACACACACATACATACACACACATACATACACACATACATACATACACATAGATACACACATACATACATACACACACACACATACACACACTCATACACACACATRCATACACACACATAGATACACACACATACATACACATAGATACACACATACATACATACACACACACACATACATACACACACACACATACATACACACACATACATACACACACATACATACATACACACACACATACATACACAAACTCATACACTGGAAAATAATAGATATGAGTGGGTTAGCGGGTGAGTAGTAGTCGTCATCAAAATTAATTATATTTGACTACAAAGTGAAAGCTTTAATCGATATTTGTCTTACAATTTTCTTTATATATAATATATTATATATAGTTATATACATATACTTAACATCTGTGTTATTGTTGTTGTTGTTGTTGTATAGCTATTATTGACTAAAGTGTGCGTTAAAAATGTGTGTGATTTCACTCCACTTTGCTTTTCAACAACAAAAAAATAAAATATAAAAATCCTATTTTAAGTGTGAATAATATATTATATAATACAATAGATTATATAATATATATCTATTATATATTTTACAGTATATTAAAAACTATTGTTATCCATATAAAAATATGATTTTGATTGATAGTCCAAGGATTTTATATAGAAATATACTTTATATATATATATATTAAAAAATAAATTGATATATAAGTTATATAATATATATTGTATACAACTTATATATAAGGAAATTGATACAAATATTTATTATAATAATAATAATATTGTACTGTATGTATAAAAACTTGTGTGTGTGCTAATAGATTGTCAAAAAAATAATTTATCAATTTTTTTTATAAACATAATACGCTTGTTATACATGAACAATATAACACACAAAACAAAAATAATATATAATATTACAAATTGTAGGATATTATTATGTATTATATTTGATATAAGATTTAGCAAATAATAATAATTTTTTAGTAAAATTTTTAAAAAATAAATAATTAAATCAATTGTTTTGATTTGATTTAAAATTATTAAATCGGTGTCTTATTTTTTTAATTAAATTAATGTTAAATATATTTTTATTAAAAATAAATTAATAAGATTATTAAATTTTATTTTTTTATATATATTTTTTAGGCCGTATAATGATTTTTAATTACCGGTACCAATATATTAAGTATAATTAAACCACAATAGACAGCAACAAATAAATATTATTTACTATATAAAAAAAATTGTAAATAAATTATAGTACTGTAATACACATTAAATACTACTATTAATAATAATTACTATTTTATGATAATATTATTAATAATATTTTTTTTTGAAGTACATTATTGTTAATTAAATATAGTGTATTATAAACTAAAACAAAAACAGTTATATAATATACATCATATTTATTATTATATATATATATAAAATATATTATACTACTGTATAATAATAATAATAATAACAAAATTGCACATGGTAATAAAAATAATAGTAATAATAATAATAATAATGGTTATATAAAAATTTTGATCGATATAATAAACAGGCAATTAAAATGTCAACAAAACATACAAATAAAATAAATAAAAAAAAAGTTTTTATTTATTTTATGTGTTGGAAATGACTTTTTATTTTTTATTTTTATATATATTTTTTTGACGATAATGTGATATTTTAATCGATTTTTGTTTCCCAAAACTCTTTTTTTTGAAATATATATATATATATATAAAAAATTGTGTGAAATGTAATACAATATACTTTATTATATAATGAAATCAATATACTGTATAATATATATATATAAACTTTTTTTTTCTCTCTGTTAACGATATAATAATAAATTTCAAATTAAATATAATTTTTGGCCAAAAACTTTCTGGTATTTAAGAAAATTAGATTTTCATATAATATTAATTTCAAATTAATATAAAATGTAAGTTTAAAATACAAATAATTTTATACTACATATAAGATATACAATATCTCAATATATATACCAGATTTCAAATGTTAGAAAATATTTTATGTTCTCATTAAATATTAAAATCTGTAAAAAAAATCTATAATAAAATAGTAAATTGCTCAGGAAACATTTTTTTTAAAATATAATTTTATATATTAAACATTTATTATTGTTTTTTAATATACATACATTATAAAAATAATTATAACTAAATTATACTATTTTATATAATAGAAATCTATAAAATAATATTTAATAACATAAATGAAAAATGTTTTAATATTTTCAACAATAACAACAAAAATTATTATTATTATTTTATAGCTTAATTTAAAATATAATATATATAGAAAATATTTTCATATAATTTTCAGCAGAAAAAAAATAGTTGAAATAACTTTTCCCTGAAAATTGCTTATTTTTATTGTCATAACTGAGATAAACAAATTTAAAATTATTTTTATAATACAACAATAATATTATATGACACAAATCATTGTATAAAACAGTTTATTATTAGGAATGTATTCAATAATATTTTATAATATGGTTTATGATTGTATAAATGCATTAATAATATTATTTGTTTGTTAAAACAAATTTTTAAAATAATTTATATCTTAAATTACATCATTTTTTAAAAAAATACATGTATTTTAATATGTAATTTTACCTTTTTTTTATTAAGCCTAGTAATTATATATTTTTAATCTAGTTTATTTTAATTGAAAAAGTAATTATTTTTTTTTTTTAATAAATTCAATTCAAAAATCATATATTATAATAGCATTAGAAAATTCATTTCTAAATATAAACCATTAATTTTTAATAAATGTTATCATTTTAACATAATTGAAATTTTATTTTAAAAAAAAGATTTACTTAAAAATACAAAATATTAAAAGATTTATATAATTATAAGTATAAATTTATTATTATTATAATTATTTATTTATTTTTTAAAAACAGATATAACTAAATGAGTTATTGGCATTAATTTTTTAATCACAATTTTTATAAAATTTAAAAAAATCATACGTTTCACAAGTAAAATATTATTCAATATATATCTTTATATATAAATATAGTATATATCTATTGAAAATGATTTAATCTAAATCTAAACTTTAATTACACTAATATTTATATTAAAATTATTTAAATATGATTTTTTTTATTTCTACAAAATATAATTTTTAAATTATTATTATTATTTATTTATTTATTTTACTAATTATACAATAAAATAAACAATATTTTAATTAAAATAATATCATAGGATTATTGATTACTATTGATTAGAAACCCTATGAAACTTTGACATTCATTTATAAAGATTTATTTAATTTTTTTTTAATTTATATAATTATTGTAATTCAAAATATATTGCAGAATAAATACTGTAATTTAAAAGCATTTATAAAATTTATTTGTTTTTTGTTTTATTTAAAAATCTCTAATATTGTCAAATATTAGTATAATTGTAATAAATAATTTATATAAAAGTGTCTTTTAATTAATTTAAACTTTAAAGTTAACTAATAGATAGAATTGCCAATAAATATATAAATAACTATTTAATTTAAATAACTTTATTAAAACAAATTTTTTATTAAAAAATAATTTGACAAAAAATATGATAAAACTTTTATTTATTAATTTCCAATTTTTTTTGTCGATTCTTATAAATACAACAATAATAATATGACACAAATCATTGTATAAAACAGTTTATATTAGGAATGTATTCAATAATAATAATATAGTAATAATGTATATAATATGTTAATCGTATAAATAGTTTTATTATATGCAAAATATCTTTATATTTTCAAAATAAAAACTAATTTCATGTTAATTTCAATTTAACAAATAATTACAAATATATTGTTACTAAAAAAAATTAATATTATTTATTAAAATTTTCTATTATATTATTTTTTTTGTACTATAAGTTATTAGATAAAAATAAAACTTATAAAATTAAAAGTCTAAATAAATTCGAGTTAATTCATAAAACAATTCGTATACTAATTTCGAGTTAAAAAAATATTTTAAAAATTATAAAATAATTTACAAATATATATTAATTTTAGTATCATATTAGTAGGCAATTAATAAACTAATCAATAAAAATATTACTAATATATATATAAAATATATAAAGCATTTTCAAACAATTTGTTTCAGTAATACATAATTCAAAACAAACAAACAATAAATCAGTAATTAATTTGATTAGTGATGTAAATAATTAAATACCTGCAAAAAAACTGTATAAATAAATCCTATACTAATATATCAAATGCTTTTGAAATAGATCTCAAAATAAAAAAAAATAATCTCTAAAAATTCAGTAAATGAGACACAAAAATACTAATAATAATAATTAAATTACAAATAAATTAGTAATAATTATAATAATAATAATAATAATAAGTAAACTTCAATAGAATATGTCGTTAGGAAACAAAATTACAAAAAAAAACATTTTGCGATTAAATTATTGACTAAAATCTATACAATATTTAAAGCTATAAATAAAATTTCAAAAAAAAATTATTAGTTAATTATAATAATATCATAATTATAATTAAATTATATATAATTTCAAAAAACAACAGCAAAATACCGGTATTAATAGTAGTAGAAAATAATAATAATAATAATTAATAGTTTTCTTAAGTTTTTGAATAACTGTTAGTTGTTGTGTCGTGTCGTCCGTCAGCTTAAGAAACACATGAGAGAGCTCTACGGGTAAATCGCGAATACCGTCCGTGAGATTCATTGTTATGCGAATCGGTAACCGAAGTGGACGGCTGTTGTCTGTTGTTGCTGTCATCACCACTAATAGAGTGTAGATTTCTTAGCTGTTGTTGTTGTCGTTGTTGTCCATCTTCTTCATCGGCTTTTTTAATCCAATCGACAATCTCATCGCAATACATGTTCAGACTTAAGGAAAACTTGGTTCGAGCTCTGGTACCCTTATATACCTGTCCTCCAGAGCCACCACTAGAACTACTACTCGACGTCAGGGACTGGGATTGAAAAAAATAGCGACTATTTCGCAACAGTTGCGATATATTACGCGATGATTGACCACTTGTAGTGTTAGAACCGTTAGTTTCCACACAAAATCTCAACTCTTCGGCACTGACTGTCTGTTCAACTGTTATATGTATGTCCTCTGAGTTTCAAAAAACACAATAATTATTATAAACTTATTATTAAACATTTGTTTTGATACTTACTATCGATATCTCCTGTTTTGAATCGGTATTGAATACGAAACAGAAATGTTTCCAAAACAAATGCAACGACAATAGTGATGACCATTAAAGTCATTATATAAAATGTCATAAAATATAGTCGACTCCAGTCAGTGGTCAGTATAACGTAGGCGTCCATCAAAATAAACCAATTGTTAACAACCATTAACTCGAATAACGTAACTATATATTCAAACAAAACAAAAAAAAAGATAAATTTAATCATAAAATTAAAAAATTTAATTAATTACAAAACTAACCATAACTGACAACAATATTGGAAAAATTGTTGAGATAATAGTAACCATTCATTGTTGCGGTTGAATTGGGATTAAAGTGAAAGTATTGTTCAATAGATGTATTTCGGCAACAATTTTCCAGATCATAGCCAGCGAACAGTTCCATACCGAGTATGGCGTAGACATAGTAGACAATTAGGACAACAATGGATAGACTGATAAAACGTTTGACAATAATGAATATAAAGGCACCCAAAATATCTTTGTAGCGATCAGTGTGTTGTAGTAGACGYAGGAAACGTATGGATCGCAGGACAAACACAAAACTAAACGGCAAACGCATAGATTCGGTAAATATGAGGCCAACAATAGCCAAACAGGTTATGGCAAAGTCGAATCTGTTCCAACCGGAACTAAAATATCGGATTAGTCCGAAACCGATAAGTTTGAGACACGCCTCGAGTCCATAGAGTGTAACAAATATCAGTGAMAGTGGTGTCGAGTAAAGTAATTGTTGTTTTTGTTGATGGGATGCACTCCTGACAATGGCTTCGACTAACTGATAGATTGCCGATACGGCTATCATTGAGTAGACAGCAGCTTCAAACCATTTGTGTCCAACCAGTTTGTAGACCATTCGGCAAACAGTTTTCAGCCATTTGTTGTCAATATTGGTAAACCATTCGCCGGAATCATTGTTTGGCTGCCACTGGAGTTCAGATACTTCGTAGACATCGTAGAACTCGTCGAGTGTTATATAACCCGACCGATTGGTGTCCAATGTTTTGAACATAAGATATGTATCCAATCGGCTAACCGATGGCTTATAGTATTGTATGAGTCCTTCGAAGTGTTTGTAGGATATCTTTTGCGGCAACTTCTGGGTGACCAACAAATTGAAGGCCAGTTTACAGGCCCGGCGTCTGTGAAGCAATAGTTTCCGAAACTTTTCTTTTTCTATTCGGTTAAATGCCTCGTAAACTACGGCTAACATCTAAAATAAGAAAAAACAAACAAAAATAATAATTAATTTTTATTACTATTTAATTAAATATTTATTTAATCCAAAAATAATTACAAATAATTACAGTATACTTACGATATTCATCAAAAAATACACGTGTATTATAAGGAATGCTATGAAAAAAACACTAGAGATTCGGTTCATTTTATACGAAGGCATCATAACATCGGGAAAACTGTTTTTTTTTTTTTATAAATAAAATAACAACAAAAATAAATAAAATTATTATTAAATTACTAAATCTTAAAAAACTATATATAAAAAAAATTTATGACTCACTTTGCAGTCGTCAACAAAACAAATAGACTGACAAAACTTTGGCCAATAGTTGAAAAATACTGCAAAAAATTTTAATGCAAAAGTAAGTAAAGTTAACAACAAATTCAAAAACAATTAATAATTTCATTAATAATAATAAGTGTTTACCGGATCTGAAGGATTGGGTGAAAACATATAAAAGCCAAGAATGGCAAACACAAGCATAAAGAAGAACAATAGGAACAACATATCGATAAAACGGGGCAACGATTGAAGGATTTGACGCAACGAACGGCGTATTCCTCCGCAGTAGTGATTGTCAATCAAAAATACCGGACGCAATGCTCGGGTAACACGAAAATGCGAGTCCCGTCTAATCAATACAACTAGGGCTTCGCATATCATTATCAACAGTACAACCGATTTGATGGCCGTACGGGTATGTCGTAGGAAATGGGCGGTACGCATCCATCGGTATTTCATGGCCAACTCGATGGCCACTATGGACAGGGCTAACAGTTCTAGTGATGCGTGAATCTATATAAGTACCGGTAATATCAATTGATTAGATAAGTCTAGACTAGAGTAGACTATACTATACTATACTATACTATACTATACTATACTGACTCCTTCATTGACTTTGAGACCATTGATGGCCGGCTTCTCGAAGAGTGCCAACGATAGTAGTAGAAGAGCGGCGATAAAATCCAAGGAATAAAACCAATGATTGTGAACAACCAGATAGGCTGGAAGTGATTGTCGGGATTTCGGGTGATGATCGAACTTATCGTTGTTGAAACCTTCCTCCAGATATATGGCCGACTCGTTATAGTTCATACGCCAGACATCCGATCGTTGACTTTGATTCAGTGAACTTGTGTCCAAACTGCTGGTCAGTTCCGTATAGTTTAGCGAAGCCGAGTCAGTATTGTCAAGAGATTCGTCCAGAAAGCCGTAACTGATTTGATTGGGAAGTTCAGTGTCGACGGCAGCGGCAATGGTATTGTTGTTGACCATCGATACCACACCCGATGATATGCTATTGATTGCTACTATTCATCAATTGATCAAACGATTAGTGAATCCATAAAAAAACAACTGATCTCAACAACTGACCATTTGTTTGCTGTTGATGTTGTTGTCGTTGTTGCGGTCGATTGTGTCCACCGCTGGTGGCGGCGGTGTTATTGTTGTTGTTATTGTTGATGACATTGTGTCCATCATTATCTTCATCGTCATCATCGATGATCAGCTGTAATGTATTGAACTGTTCATTGATTTGGGCATCAATTATATGGTGATCGCTGTTACTATTGTTGTCCACTATTGTTGGTACCGCCGCCGTCGTTGTCCTTGTCTTCCGCTGATTACTACTGGCCATCAATTTTCGTGTTATTGTTGTCCAAACACCGCATGTGTTGTCAAATCATTCAATCAAACAAAAACATATGATTTGATTAATTCATAACACTTTTTAATACTTTCATTATTACTTTATTTTTGTTATTTTTATACAAACAGTAAACCAAACAAACAAATCATATGTTTGTTATTAATATGTATTTGTTATGTATTTTTTAAATGTCATATATTTTTAGTTATCAACCAATAGATGACATAATAAAAACATTGCAATGCATTAAAAATAATTTTTAAAAAAAGTTTATTAAAAGTTTGCCGCAATGTTTGAAAACTTTATTATTATTTTTTATAATTATAATTTATTATTATMATATATTTTATATGAAATAATTAATTCAATTTAATTAATTGAATCAATGAAAATTTATTATATTTATATACAGTATATCAATAGTTACAACAAAAACAAACAAAAAAATTAAATAAATATTGTTATAAAATAGTTTGTTGTAAAAGTTTATATAAATATTAACTAATTATATGTGATATTTATGTCATTATCAATGAAATAAATTATTATTAAATTTATTATTTTTTTAGGTTAACATATTATAATTGTCGGTATTTTTAAATTTAAGCAAAAAAAAACAAAATGTTTGGACAAAACACCGGGTGATTGGGGTTTCTGATGGTCAACGAGTTGTTGGCGATTCAGTGGCGATAGTATCAGTGGTGGCCATCATCGGTACAAAATCGATGACAAAGTTATTTGGCCGCCAATAGCGGCTGTACTGCCAGACAATGGTGGCCACAAACCGGAAGAATATGTAGACAATGTACGCGAGCCGACTGTAGACAATAAATACGACAAAATCTTGTAGCCATTGGTCAGTATTATCGGCGAGGGCTATGACCAGCCGTACGATTAGCCAACAGTGTATCAGATTTAACAGTTTGCTGGCAATTTCGACCAGTGTTTCCAATTGGATCGGCTCATTGGCAAACATGTCGACCATATTCATCGGTCGGCGTCGGATTGCGTACTGATGGCCACAAACATCGCAACAATGATTGAGCGTTAGTTTCACGTAATGTTTGAGACACTGTTTGTGTGCTAAACTCCAGGACCGACACCTGCAGACAGTTAGCAATTCACCCGAAGTTTTCATACAAACCCGACATTTGTTGTTGTTGTTGTTTAGCGGCAGCGACGGCGGCGGTGAAGACATAGTATACCACCGATGAATGAAACAAAAAAAAACACAATTTTTTTTGATGCACTTGAAGTTATGGACAGTTTTTTATTTTAAAAAATATATAATTATTATTATTAGTGAGTGAATTATGATTTATAATTTACTAAATCGCGTGTAAAATAACTTTAATTAAATTATTATTATTATTACAAATAAAAATCTAAATATATTTTAGAGATAAAAAAACTTTTTGTTATATTTTTATTTTATTTTAAATGTAATGTTTAATTAAAATGTTTGTTTGAATAGCGCGCGCTATTGTATTGTATAACAAAACAATACATAATATGTATTACATATTATTATTATATTAATACAGTATTAATATATATACTGTACTTTAATATCCAATGTATTTATAAGTGCAATGTATTTGACATATAATATACAAACATAACAAACAAATTGTATTGAAATTTATATCACAATATAAACACTAATCACATGTTATTTAATTAAATGCGATAATAATATAAAGTTATAAACAATAATAATTGTATTGCAATTATTATAATCACACCAATTGATTGATTGATTGATAATCATATAGTGATGAATAACAACACTACTGATGATATGTGTTCACAAAAAGCTGATCCATGGCTTATGGATGATAACAATAGACTGTTGGCCACTGCCGATGATTATGTGGTCAATGATACCGCTGATGATGATAATAAAGACATGAAATTTGCCGACAATTTTCAGCCCAAACCCGATGATAGACTCGATGATAGATTCGATGATAGACTCGATGATAGATTCGATGATAGATCCGATGATAGACCCGATGATAGACCCGATGATAGACCCGATGATAGACCCGATGATAGAGTAGCTGTCAATGAAAATCAATGCATCAAACCGTTACCCGATTCACAACAATATATACAATCATTGGGTATTTAATTATTATCAATAATTAATATATAAATTATTAATTAATTTTTTCAAACAATTTATCAAATATTTTTATAGAGAAAAAGTTACAAAAACTTCGGTCCAATAAATCGGGTGCAGAAATGTCCAGCAAAGACGTATTGAAATCAATGGCTATGAAAAGGGATGCAATTATCCATCAAATGCTTGAATCAAACAATACTAGCGATCAGTTGTTTAATGATTGTCATGATTTTGATGGACAATCATCGTCAGCACTGGTAAGCAATGGTCTGTTACAACAACAACCGTTTGTACAATACTTGAATCGACGGCTGTTTCCTGATATGCAAGCCATGACTGATGAAGAAATCAAACAACTCATAGAATGGGATCTATTGGACAAATCTAATCAACAATTGGATCCATAAAATTAATTGTTTTTTTTAAATTTATTTTATTTAAATTAATTAATAGTTTATTATTGTAATACTGAATAGTTTTATCGTTTATTTAACAAACAAAATGTATACATTTTTTTAAATAAATGATTTTCTAAATAAATAAAAAATAGTTTTGTGGCATATCTTATGAAAAAATTTTCGCCATCAGTTGTCGCAGATTTATTTCATTAAATCATTCATTCATACAATTTAATTACCATAATAATGATTACGGACGCCGGCAGCCGATCGGTTAAAAGATAACAACCTGAGGACAAAAGCGATGGCCATAGATTTCTGAATCACAGTCATTGTTGGCATCAGAGGCCAAAACATGTATACCAAACCTGTCTCCATAGCCGACCACGGCATGCCTAGCGGTCCGGGTTCGGGAGCTATTTAAAAATATACATAAAAAATAAGTCAAAAATTAATATCAATGAGCCGATCCAATTGGAAACACTGGCCCGAAATTGCCAGCAAACTGTTAAATCTCATACACTGTTAGCTAATCGTACGGCTGGTCATAGCCCTCACCGATAATACTGACCAATGGCTACAAGATTTTGTCGTATTTATTGTCTACAGTCGGCTCGCGTACATTGTCTACATATTCTACCGGTTTGTGGCCACTATTGTCTAACACACACATATACTATGGTCTAATCTCTAATAGCCCGCCCTAACCCCCACCCTCCCAATAATGATATTATTAATAAACATACCGTTAAAGAATTCAAGAGCAGCGACAACAATGTCTGGCTGTGCTGGTTCTAACTCTTGATCCGGTTGTACATCATCTATGACCTCCTGTTCAGGTTCATCGGCCTGAATGACCATTACTTTATAAATCCATTGAACTAGTAAACAGAGCAGTACACCGAAAAAAACACCAAAAACACCGGCCGTCAAAGTATCCATAATAGAGATCAGTAATAATTTTGATATAAAAAAGTATTACTTTACAAAAAAAACTAACGTTTTTTTTAAAATATTAACCTTAAATTAATGATAATTATTACGTTATTAAAAGTTATAACGAGACTATACTATGTAATTATAATTCAATTAATTTTATTAGTTTAGCACACAAACAGTGTCTCAAACATTATGTTAAACTAACGCTAAATCATTGTTGCGATGTTTGTGGCCATCAGTACGCCATCCGAAGCCGACACCGATGAATATGGTCGATATGTTTGCCAATGAGCCGATCCAATTGGAAACACTGGTCGAAATTGCCAGCAAACTGTTGAATCTCATACACTGTTGGCTAATCGTACGGCTGGTCATAGCCCTCGCCGATAATACTGACTACCAATGGCTACAAGATTTTGTCGTATTTATTGTCTACAGTCGGCTCGCGTACATTGTCTACATATTCTTCCGGTTTGTGACCACTATTGTCTGGCAGTATAGCCGCTATTGGGGGCCAAATAACTTTGTTATCGATTTTGTACCGATGATGGCCACCACTGATACTATCGACACTGAATCGCCAACAACTCGTTGACCGGTATTTTTGATTGAATACGCCGTTCGTTGCGTCAAATCCTTCAATCGTTGCCCCGTTTTATCGATATGTTGTTCCTATTGTTCTTCTTTATGCTTGTGTTTGCCATTCTTGGCTTTTATATGTTTTCACCCAATCCTTCAGATCCGGTAAACACTTATTAATATTATTAATGAAATTATTAATTGTTTTTGAATTTGTTGTTAACTTTACTTACTTTTGCCTAAAAATTTTTGTCAGTATTTTTCAACTATTGGCCAAAGTTTTGTCAGTCTATTTGTTTTGTTGACGACTGCAAAGTGAGTCTTAAATTTTTTATATATATATATATTGTTTTTTAAGATTTAGTAATTTAATAATAATTTTATTTATTTTTGTTGTAATTTTGTTTTTAAAAAAACAGTTTTCCCGATGTTATGATGCCTTCGTATAAAATGAACCGAATCTCTAGTGTTTTTTTCATAGCATTCCTTATAATACACGTGTATTTTTTGATGAATATCGTAAGTATACTGTAATTGTTTGTAATTATTTTGGATTAAATAAACATTTAATTAAATAGTAGTAAAAAATCATTTATTTTGTTTGGTTTTTGTATTTAGATGTTAGCCGTAGTTTACGAAGCATTTAACCGAATAGAAAAAGAAAAGTTTCGTAAACTATTGCTTCACAGACGCCGGGCCTGTAAACTGGCCTTCAATTTGTTGGTCACCCAGAAGTTGCCGCAAAAGATATCATACAAACACTTGTTATATTTGTTACAAACATTTGTTACACTCTATGGACTCGAGGCGTGTCTCAAACTTATCGGTTTCGGACTGATCCGATATTTTAGTTCCGGTTGGAACAGATTCGACTTTGCCATAACCTGTTTGGCCATTATTGGCCTCATATTTACCGAATCTATGCGTTTGCCGTTTAGTTTTGTGTTTGTCCTGCGATCCATACGTTTCCTGCATCTGTATTGCGATGAGATTGTCGATTGGATTTTTTTTTTTGAAACTCAGAGGACATACATATAACAGTTGAACAGACAGTCAGTGCTGAAGAGTTAAGATTTTGTGTGGAAACTAACGGTTCTAACACTACAAGTGGTCAATCATCGCGTAATATATCGCAACTGTTGCGAAATAGTCGCTATTTTTTCCAATCCCAGTCCCTGACGTCGAGTAGTGGTTCTAGTGGTGGCTCTGGAGAACAGGTATATAAGGGTACCAGAGCTCGAACCAAGTTTTCCTTAAGTCTGAACATGTATTGCGATGAGATTGTCGATTGGATTAAAAAAGCGGATGAAGAAGATGGACAACAACGACAACAACAACAGCTAAGAAATCTACACTCTATTAGTGGTGATGACAGCAACAGACAACAGCCGTCCACTTCGGTTACCGATTCGCATAACAATGAATCTCACGGACGGTATTCGCGATTTACTCGTAGAGCTCTCTCATGTGTTTCTTAAGCGACACGACATGACAACAACAGACAGTTATTTAAACACTTAAGAAAACTATTACTAATTATTATTATTTCTATTATTAATACCGATATTTTGCTTTTGTTTTTTGAAATTATAAATAATTTACCGGTAATTATAATTATGATCTATACTACTATATAATTTGGAAATGTTTATATATTTATATATATATATCTCTGTCACACTTTTGCGCGTTACAACAATTAAAAATTATTAAAATTAAAATAACGGTTAAATAAAAAGTATTGTTAATTAAACAGTTAGTTTTTTAATTTTATTTATTGTTGCACGTGTAAAGAAAAAAAACATTTAAATTATATTATTAAACGCGAAATTTAAATAATATATTTGTTTTTAGATTGCTTTTTGTTTTTATAATTTAAAACCAGAAAATTAAGTCACATGATTATTACCGGGAAACTAACTAGTATTATTATAATTAACTAATAATTATTTAAAAAAATTTTTTTTATAGTTTTAAATATTGTATTGATTTTAGTCAATAATTTAATCGCAAAATGATTTTTTTCGTAATTTTGTTTTCTAACGACATATTCTATCGAAGTTTACTTATTATTATTATTATAATTATTACTAATTTATTTGTAATTTAATAATTATTATTATTATTAGTATTTTTGTGTCTCATTTACTGAATTTTTAGAGATTATTTTTTTTGATTTTGAGATCTGTTTCAATTAAGCATTTAATATATTAGTATAGGATTTATTTATATAGAGATTTTTCAGGTAATTAATTATTTACATCACTAATCAAATTAATTACTTATTTATTGTTTGTTTGTTTTGAATTATGTATTATTTAAACAAATTGTTTGAAAAAGCTTTATATATTATGTCAGGGTTAAGCAAGGTTTTGGATTTTAGGGGGGGGGGGTAGACCGTGGTGGAATTTACAAAATTGTCGAAAAATCTTGAGGGGGGGGGGGGGGTATTAGGTGGGGTAAGATTTTTATTGCATTTTTAAACGGCAATTTATCAAAAATTCAAAATCAAGGGGGTGGGTCAAAAAAAATCCCAAATATTCCCTTAAATTCCCGAATATTCCAATGTAAATTCGATAAAGTTCCCATAAGTTCCCGTATAAATTCCCAGGAAAATAGGTAAAATTTCCAAATAAAATAAAAAAAGTTAAAAATTAATAAAAACTTAAATTTTAACAAAAAATAAAATAATGTATTTAAAATTAAAAAATAGTTGATAAAAGCATTAATGATACACTATGAGTTATTTTTAATATTTTAATAATTTTTAACTTTTAACAATTAATTTTTAAAATAATAATTCATGTTTATAGTTTATAGGTATTTTTTATTTTTTTAATATTTTTATACAAATATTGATTGAATATTAATTATTTAACTCAATTTTTTGTTAATTTTTAGTTATATTAATAAAATAAAATTTCAAATTAAATAAATAATAAAATAAAAAAAAAATAAAAGACTAAAATATTTACCTTAAAATATTAAAATATTTATTGTTTTACTAACTTCTTAAACTTCTTAAAACATCTATTTAAGATGTAATATTATTACTCTTTTCAACAAATAAGTAATTTTTAATTTTTTAGTTTAACATTTTCAATAAATTAATGTTATTTTTAGATGAGTTTTAATGTTATTTTAACCATTTTACTTAATTTTAATCAATAATTAGATACTTTTAAATTTTAAAAACAAATGTCACTCTTTTTAAGCGACTATTTTTCAAATTGGTCAAAAAGTCTGGGGGGTAAAATACCAAAATTTGGATCTTAGGGGGGGTATTTTGGCATTACCCCCTACTCCCCTTACTTTACCCTCATATTATATATATATATATATATTAGCCTTATTTTTATTGATTAGTTTATTAATTGCCTACTAATTTGATATTATTATTATTAAAATTAGTATATATTTATAAATTATTTTATAATTTTTAAAAATTTATTAACTCCAAATTAGTATAGTAATTGTTTTATGAATTAACTCGAATTTATTTAGATTTTTAATTATATGTTTTATTTTTATCTTATAACTTATAGTTCAAAAAAAATAATATAATAGAAAATTTTAATAAAATAATATTAAATTATTTTAACAATATATTTGTAATTATTTGTTAAATTTGAAATTAACATGAAATTAGTTTTTATTTTGAAAATATAAAGATATTTTGCATATAATAAAACTATTTATACAGCTCTTTGCAAAAATATTAATAATTGTATAAAATTAATTTTAAACATGTTTAATTAATAATAATTAAAAATAATAATAAATAAATAATAATTTATAATATAAATAAAAGAAATAATAATAAATTAATATTTAATCTTGTCACCGTTGTCTTCGATACAGTCTACAACCCTGCGCGGCATGCTATCAATAAGTGACTATGTAATTGGGGACAATATTGTCCCATATTTTTTGGATTTTTTCGGTCCAATTGGTTATGGAGCGATCCGGGTCTTTCTGCAACTCGGCCTTTATTATTGCTTAAAGGTTTTCGATTGGGTTAAGGTATGGAGAGTGGTTGTTGAGCAGAACGTTATTTATGTCAACAAAGACTATAAAAGTTTAATTTAAAAAAATGTTTGTATTTGAAATACTCTTGAATATTGTCAATAACAGTAAACTGTGAATTTGGTAGTTGAACAGAACGTTATTTATGTCAACAACGACTATAAAAGTTTAATTTAAAAAAATGACTTGTATTTGAAATACTCTTGAATATTGTCAATAACAGTAAACTGTGAATTTGGTTGTTGAACAGAACGTTAATTATGTCAACAACGACTATAAAAGTTTAATTTAAAAAAATGATTTGTATTTGAAATACTCTTGATTATTGTCAATAACAATAAACTGTGAATTTGGTAGTTGAACAGAACGTTAATTATGTCAACAACGACTATAAAAGTTTAATTTAAAAAAATGATTTGTATTTGAAATACTCTTGAATATTGTCAATAACAGTAAACTGTGAATTTGGTAGTTGAACAGAACGTTATTTATGTCAACAACGACTATAAAAGTTTAATTTAAAAAAATGACTTGTATTTGAAATACTCTTGAATATTGTCAATAACAGTAAACTGTGAATTTGGTAGTTGAACAGAACGTTATTTATGTCAACAACGACTATAAAAGTTTAATTTAAAAAAATGATTTGTATTTGAAATACTCTTGAATATTGTCAATAACAGTAAACTGTGAATTTGGTAGTTGAACAGAACGTTATTTATGTCAACAACGACTATAAAAGTTTAATTTAAAAAAATGACTTGTATTTGAAATACTCTTGAATATTGTCAATAACAGTAAACTGTGAATTTGGTAGTTGAACAGAACGTTATTTATGTCAACAACGACTATAAAAGTTTAATTTAAAAAAATGATTTGTATTTGAAATACTCTTGAATATTGTCAATAACAGTAAACTGTGAATTTGGTTGTTGAACAGAACGTTATTTATGTCAACAACGACTATAAAAGTTTAATTTAAAAAAATGATTTGTATTTGAAATACTCTTGAATATTGTCAATAACAGTAAACTGTGAATTTGGTAGTTGAACAGAACGTTATTTATGTCAACAACGACTATAAAAGTTTAATTTAAAAAAATGATTTGTATTTGAAATACTCTTGAATATTGTCAATAACAGTAAACTGTGAATTTGGTAGTTGAACAGAACGTTATTTATGTCAACAACGACTATAAAAGTTTAATTTAAAAAAATGATTTGTATTTGAAATACTCTTGAATATTGTCAATAACAGTAAACTGTGAATTTGGTAGTTGAACAGAACGTTATTTATGTCAACAACGACTATAAAAGTTTAATTTAAAAAAATGATTTGTATTTGAAATACTCTTGAATATTGTCAATAACAGTAAACTGTGAATTTGGTAGTTGAACAGAACGTTATTTATGTCAACAACGACTATAAAAGTTTAATTTAAAAAAATGATTTGTATTTGAAATACTCTTGAATATTGTCAATAACAGTAAACTGTGAATTTGGTAGTTGAACAGAACGTTATTTATGTCAACAACGACTATAAAAGTTTAATTTAAAAAAATGATTTGTATTTGAAATACTCTTGAATATTGTCAATAACAGTAAACTGTGAATTTGGTAGTTGAACAGAACGTTATTTATGTCAACAACGACTATAAAAGTTTAATTTAAAAAAATGATTTGTATTTGAAATACTCTTGAATATTGTCAATAACAGTAAACTGTGAATTTGGTAGTTGAACAGAACGTTATTTATGTCAACAACGACTATAAAAGTTTAAAAAAATGATTTGTATTTGAAATACTCTTGAATATTGTCAATAACAGTAAACTGTGAATTTGGTAGTTGAACAGAACGTTATTTATGTCAACAACGACTATAAAAGTTTAATTTAAAAAAATGATTTGTATTTGAAATACTCTTGAATATTGTCAATAACAGTAAACTGTGAATTTGGTAGTTGAACAGAACGTTATTTATGTCAACAACGACTATAAAAGTTTAATTTAAAAAAATGATTTGTATTTGAAATACTCTTGAATATTGTCAATAACAGTAAACTGTGAATTTGGTAGTTGAACAGAACGTTATTTATGTCAACAACGACTATAAAAGTTTAATTTAAAAAAATGATTTGTATTTGAAATACTCTTGAATATTGTCAATAACAGTAAACTGTGAATTTGGTAGTTGAACAGAACGTTATTTATGTCAACAACGACTATAAAAGTTTAATTTAAAAAAATGATTTGTATTTGAAATACTCTTGAATATTGTGTCAATAACAGTAAACTGTGAATTTGGTAGTTGAACAGAACGTTATTTATGTCAACAACGACTATAAAAGTTTAATTTAAAAAAATGATTTGTATTTGAAATACTCTTGAATATTGTCAATAACAGTAAACTGTGAATTTGGTAGTTGAACAGAACGTTATTTATGTCAACAACGACTATAAAAGTTTAATTTAAAAAAATGATTTGTATTTGAAATACTCTTGAATATTGTCAATAACAGTAAA